TTTAAATATATTTTATTGATTTTTTACAGAGAGGAAGGGAGAGAGATAGAGAGTTAGAAACATCGATGATGAGAGAAACATTGATCAGCTGCCTCCTGCACATCTCCTACTGGGGATATGCCAGCAACCCAGGTACATGCCCTTGACCGGAATCGAACCTGGGACCTTTCAGTCCGCAGGCCAACGCTCTATCCACTGAGCCAAACCGGTTTCAGCGACAATCCTTTTTCTTGATATAGCTTTGGGATTAATCAACTGCTGTGGAAACTTTGTAAATAAGTGATTATTACTATTTTTTTTTAATACTCATCCGAGGATAGTTTTTCCCATTGATTTTCAGAGTTGAAAGGAGTGGGAGAGGAGAGAGGAGAAAGAGAGAGAGAAACATCGATGTGAGAGAGACACATTGATTGGTTGCCTCCCAGTCGTGCCTGGACCGGGGCTGGATGAACCTGCAACCAGGTATGTGCCCTTGACCAGGAATCGAACCCGAGACCCTTCAGTGTGAGGGCTGACGCTCTAACCACTAAGCAGTGCTGGCCAGGGCAAGTTATTATTATTTTTTTAATTTTTAAAAATTGATTTTAGAGAGAGGAAGGGAGGAGACAGAGACAGAGACATTGATGTGAAAGACCCAACCAGGATTGAACCCGAAACCTGGGTATGTGCCCAAGCAGGAATCAAACCACCATCTTTCAGTGTATGGAATGACACTCCAACTAACTGAGCCACACTGTCCAGGGCTGTGAATTAGTTTTAATGGTCGGTTACAGTAGAGGTTTTAGTGAAAAATTGGTTCAGAATATTATTATTTTTTTAAACTCTTATCTAGGCCGTCTTTTACAGTATTTTTTAAAATATATTTTTATTGATTTTAGAGAGGAAAGAAGAGGTAGAGAGAGATAGAAACATCAATGATGAGAGAATTATTGATCGGCTGCCTCCTGCATGCCCCCTACTGGGGATCAAGCCCAAAACCTGGGCATATGCCCTTCCTTGACTGGAATCAAACCCGGGACCCTTCAGTCCGCAGGCGACACTATACACTGAGCCAAACCACCCAGGGCCAGAATATTATTAATAACTATAAACAAGGTATATTAGTTTCCTCTTAGAAACCTTGAGTTGTGTGTTATTTCTATTCTTAAATCTACTTTGTTACAAACCATCACAGTTGTTTTGCCCTAGAATGGCTAGGTAGCATCTGGGGCTGACTGGTTGACCATGACAGGATTCTTCCTGCAAAGACAAGAAATGCATCTTACATCAGGCAGTACATAATTTATAGGTTGACCTGGGGATTCTTTCACATGGGATCCGTAAGTACTAAACAGCCTGGTGAGGGGAAAGACCATGGTCCTTGGAGTGAGACTGTTTCAGGCACTGGGAAGCCTTGCGGAATTTTTTTGACTTTGAGCTTCACTTTGCTCAATATAAACAATGCAGACCCACCTCTCAGAGTTGTGAAGATTAACGAGCTAATCGTGAACACCCTGGACCATGGTGCCACATCAGATAGGGACAACTCACTCAGCAGCGAAGCCCACATTTTTTAAAGTTTCAAAAGCAAAGCGAATGTACTTGGTTACATAATTGGCTTAAAGGTGCCTGAGGCTTTAAATTATGAACCATTTCGGAGAGAAGAAATGATGCCAAGTTAGTATCAAGTTTGAAAAGCAGTGGTTGGCATTCTGTGAGTAAAAGGGAACACATTTACAATGAAAGTCCAGGAGATGGATTTAGAAATGGAGTCTCCCTCCCTGGCCCTCTCACTACTTTGTGTTCACATACTTCCTTTTTTCTTCCGAGGCTCTAAAACAGAAACAAAACATAGGCCCTGCAAGGAGCTTTTGAATTCTTTCTAAAGAGGAAATTGACTTTACCTAACCAATGCACTTCCTGTGTGTGCCGCATCCGCTAAAGAGCGAGGCAGGCCCTGGTTGGTATAGTGTTCAGCTGCGGAATTTCCTCTTGGTGGCAGGGGTGCAAACTATATTACAGTGCTCCGACATGTGTAAGGTCTGTCTGAGTCACCTGGGGATCTTGTTAAAAATGCAGGTTCTGATTTAGTAGCTCTGGGTGAGGCCTGAAAATTTTTGCATTTCTGACAATATTCCAGGTGATGTGTCTCCCTTGGTTCTTTTAGTAAGATCTTAAAAGCACACTTGATTATTTTTATTCAGTAACATTTATTTGCTTAGTGCTGGTATGTTAGGGGCTTATTCCCAAGGATCCCACAGCTGAGTGATGAACCAAATCAAGTACATTTTTAGTTTGGTTCTTTTTAAAAATATGTATATATTTTATTGATTTTTTACAGAGAGAAAGGGAGAAGGATAGAGAGCTAGAAACATCGATGAGAGAGAAACATTGATCAGCTGCCTCCTGCACACCCCCTACTGGGGATGTGCCCACAACCGCCATACATGCCCATGACTAGAATCAAACCTGGGACCCTTCAGTCTGCAGCTGACGCTCTCTCCACTGAGCCCAACAGATTAGGGCGAGTTTGGCTCTTTTTTTAAAAAAAAAAAATCAGCAAAACAACTTTGACTTTGGTTTATTTTATAGAAGTTCTTTAGTAACTTTGCAGAGATTAACCATTAAATTTAAATTAGGATTTCTCCTTTACTTTATGATTTAAGGAATTCTATTACTGCACACGTACCAGCCACTGTAACTCCCAATAAGGTGAAAAAGAGAAAAAGTTGCATCCATGATCTGTCCACCCAGCCAATCAAACTGTTAGTTCTTTTTTTTTTTTTTTGTATTTCTTTGTTGTCCTTGGGCAGGGGCATCTTTTGTTTTTATGTGGTTGTGAACATTTCTGCAAAACAATTTTGTGTGTCTGCTTTTTAAATTTAGTATTAGAGAATAAATAGAAATTGTTCTAAATTGCTCTGTTAGCTATTAAAATATAGTACTGTAGCCTGGCTGGCGTGGCTCAGTGGTTGAGTGTCGACCTATGAACCAGGAGGTCACGGTTGGATTCCCGGTCTGAGCACATGCTCCGGTTGCGGGCTTGATCCCCAGTAGCAGGCATGCGATCAGTGATTCTCATCATTGATGTTGCTATCATTCTCTTCCTTCCTCTCTGAAATAAAAATAAAAATAAACAAATATAGTGCTTTCTCCATATTTTGATATATTTTTTCTAGGTGGTTTTCTTGGACTTCAAACATTCTTGCTAAGATCAAGTTAGCAAAAGGGTTAGGGCAGTAAACATAATATGTCATATGAAACTAATATGATAATGTTAGCAAAATAAAGTATGTGTTTGCTTTAATTCAACTAAGAGTTTTGGTTTATAGTTAGAATTTCCTTTTTTGTTGTTAACCCTCACCAGAGATATTTTTTCCATTGCTTTTAAGACAGAGTGGAAGGGAGGAAGGGAGGGAGGGAGGGAGGGAGGGAGGGAGGGAGGGAGGGAGAGAGAGAGAGAGAGAGAGAAAGAGAGAGAGAGAGAGAGAGAGAGAGAGAGAGAGAGAAACATCAACTGATTGCCTCCTGCACATGCCCTGAACAGGTACATCCCCTTGACTGGGAATCCCCTTGACTGGGAATCGACCCTTCGACCCTCAACCCTTCAGTGCTTGGGTTGACGATCTAACCCAACTGATCCACCCAGCCAGGGCCATGTTATATGTATTCTTAAAAAGAAAAAAGAATATGTGTGAAATATATTCACACATTTCTATAATATGTGTGCAATGTAAAGATTTTCTTGTTTTATGTCTTAGGGCAGCGGTCACCAACCTTTCGGACCTCTCTGTGGCCCACCGGTTGGTGACCGCTGTCTTAGAGCAGCGGTCCTTAATCTGGCTGTGTGGACGTAGAGCAGTGTTTCTCAAAGTATGGGCTGCAGAATCACAGGTGTGCTTGTGGAAAACAAGAACTCCATACACTCCTCTTGCCCCCCTCCTCCAAGCTTCTAGTGGGGTAGGTCTGGGATGGAGCCCTGAAATCTGAATTATAATAGGCAGCCTGTTTGATTCTTCTGCAAACCACCTTTCAGATTTACTGCTCCCAGCAAGCCGTGGTTGGGGTCTAAGGGAATTTGTAACCCCTGAAATTGAATAAGTAGGGTATTCATTTTTCTGGGAAGAGGATCTATAAATCTCTCAGTGAGATTCACAAAGAGGACCATGACTCAAAAAAGATTAAGTCATTGTCCCAGAAGTGTGTTTTAAAAATAATATATTTTTATTGATTTCAGAGAGGAAGGTCGAGGGATAGAAACATTGGTGAGAGAGAGACACTGATCGGCTACCTCCTGCGCACGCACCACCGGGGATCAAGCCCGCAACCTAGGCATGTGCCCTGACTAGGAATCGAAATGGGGACCTCTTGGTTCATGGGTTGACGCTCAACTACTGAGCCACACCAGCCAGGCCCAGAAGTGTGTTTTTTATGAACATTTTCTGCTTCTTATGAGCTTCTTAGGATTTAAATAAATTCTTAGTTTTTTTTTCGCATAATGAGGGCATTTTATCCACGAGTGGATTTTTTGGTATTGTAGCTTTCTAACGTACCATTTCTTTATTCTTTAAGCAAATGAATTTTAATGCCCTCCTAGTTTAAAATTATTTTTTAATGAAATGTACTATTGCCACAAATTACTTTGTACAGATAATATTTTCTAACACTTATTTATTGAGAACAACAGTGTGCCAATTGTTTTACTAAGTGCAACATATATTTTTATTTAACCCTAGCATCAACCCAGTGAGGTAAGCATAAGGAAACTGAGGTATGGAGTGCTTAATTCCCTTGACCACATTGACACAGTTTGTGAATGATGGAACCAGGGTTTGAGCCCATTCTGTCTGACCTGAAGGCCAGTTGTGTGCAAGTCTGCAAGTTTGTGCAGATGAATCACATTTGGTTTTCCAGTGAATAGAAGATGATGATTGTATAGTACCTTGAAATTATCATAGGTGTTGCTTGTGGATTAGCCTTTTTTAGTGATTCTGATTCTGAGTTTTGTTATTTCTTTTCAGATCAAAGAGAGTGCATCACAGACCAGAGATGTCCTCAAACAGCATTTTAATGATTTAAAGGGAACCCTTGGGAAGCTCCTGGATGAGCGACTGGTGACCCTTTTGCAAGAAGTGGATACCATTGAGCAAGAGACCATTAAACCGCTTGATGACTGCCAGAAGCTCATAGAGCACGGAGTTAACACTGCAGAGGACTTGGTCCAAGAAGGTGGGCTTCTCCTATTAAATGTGGCAAATTCAGATCGACAGTGCTCATTTCTCAGGGCTTATTGCCATCTGTGGGGTGCTTACGAAGTTCCTACCATGGGACAGTTTATAATATAGGATGACAGATACACAGTGAGGTATCCCAGCATAAGTGCAATTAAAGTGTTAATTATAATCATTTACAAAACAAGGAGTAAATGATTTTTCTCAAACAGTTCCATGATATTATCACATTCACTGTTAGAGCAATTTTAAGGTCATTTTGAGTCTTCAGATCTTTTTCAGAGTGTTTGTGGATTATAGAGTTTAATTCCCTTGTTCTTTATATATGTTTTTTATCGATTGTTAGAGAGAGAGAAAGGGAGAGGGATAGAGAGGTAGAAACATCCATAAGAGAGGAACATCATCGATCGGCTGCCTTCTGCACGCCCCTTACTGGGGATCAAGCCTGCAACTGAGGCATGTGCCCTGACCAGGAATCAACTGGTGACCTCTTGGTTCCTGGGTCAACGCTCAATTGCTGAGGCACACTGGCTGGGCAATTCCATTGTTCTTTTTAATAGGTTAACAAGCCGAAACCGGTTTGGCTCAGTTGATAGAGCGTTGGCCTGCGGACTGAAAGATACCAGGTTCGATTCCTGTCAAGGGCATGTACCTGGGTTGCGAGCACATCCCCAGTAGGAGATGTGCAGGAGGCAGCTGATCGATATTTCTCTCTCATCGATGTTTCTGACTCTCTATCTCCCTCCCTTCCTCTCTGTAAAAAATCAATAAAATATATTAAAAGAAAAAATAGGCTAACAAATATGATTAGTGTTTACTCCTGAAATTGTAGTTGTTATATTTTTGTCTTTAGCCAATTATTTTGGTGGAAACATGCCCAGATCTAGCCTTCCTCCCTTCCTTCCTTCCTCCCTCCCTCCCCATAAGCCTTTGTCAGGTACATTAAATTAAAATTCTGTCCTTTGGGGTTCACATGTGAGCGAGGCACATATGCCGAGAGAGATCTAAGGCCTTACGGGAGCACAGAAGGGATATGCTTAACTGGAAGACTGTAGGAGAGTTTTCTGTAGGAGTTTTGCAGAGGGAGCTAACAGCCCGAGTGGAAGCAGAAGGAACATCACGAGTGAAGGGAGGGGCATATCAGGGATCTTTTTGAAGTAATTTAGGCAGCAGAGTTACACAAAGTTGCATTTAAAAAATTGGCACAGCCTACAGTTTGGAGACTGGGTTCAAAGTTGTAAGACTAGAGATAAAGAGACTAATTAGGAAGTTGCAGCAGTAATCCAGATAGGAAAGAATGACGACAGAGACGAGAGGATAAGGTAGAGCTGGTTTTAAGATTTTTCATATAGAATTATTGATGATTTTACTGATCAATAAGAGTTGATTACTGGTGATTGACTGGATATAGGTTAGAGGAGAAAGCGAAGGATCTAGGATGACCAAAACCAGCCTGATTTTGGGTGTCGGTAAATTGTGCTTTTTACTGACATAGGAAATGAAGGAGTAGGGTTGGGCTCTGGTGGGTACTTAGGCATTTGGTTTGAGCATGTTGACTTTGAAGTGCTTAAGATGAAAGGGGGAGTTGGGAGTGATGCTTAGGCGAGAGATAATATCTGGAGATGTTAATATGGCAATTAATGGCATATATATCAGATCTGAATCAATAGGAATAAGAAATATCATCAAGAGATAGTCTACAGCCCTAACCAGTTTGACTCAGTGGATAGAGCATCGGCCTGCGGAGTGAAGGGTCCCAGGTTCAATTCCAGTCAAGGGCATGTACCTTAGTTGCAGGCACATCCCCAGTAGGGGGTGTGCAGGAGGCAGCTGATCGATGTTTCTCTCACATCGATGTTTCTAACTCTCTATCCCTCTCCCTTCCTCTCTATAATAAATCAATAAAATATATTTAAAAATAAAAAGAGATAGTCTACAATATGAGATGAGAAGGCAGAAATGGTAGAACTGTAAGGGACAGCAACATTTAAATAACTCCAGGGGGAAAGAGGCAGGGGAGGCGGTGGAATCCATTCTGCAGACCGAGTGCAGTCCAGTGGCAGAGGATAAAAAGTGTGCATGGCTCACAAGTCTGTGACTCCAACTGGAAACCAGTCCCCTGTTTTGTCTTACGTGGAATATGGTACCAGTGTTTCCTTCACATGCTAAGTGTATTTTAGTCTTATCTTCAGTGAGAAGTGTTTATTTGCTATTCACCATAACGGTGCCTTTGAGAAAAAAATTTTTAGCAAGACCACAGAATGTCTTTCCCTGGAGGCTGTGCATTTGGAAACAAACCCAGAAGCAGTTCATCACAGGTCAGGAGTGTACACCCATCACCCTGAAGACTGAGAGATGTTTTTAGTTTAGAAAATAAATCCTTCGAGGCACATACATGCTTGTCACAGCATCTCTCAATTTTTTTCAGATGCTTCCATTTTTTTGTACTTCAGAAATACTTTAAATTTCAAACTCTTCCCTCCTTTCCCAAGGGATAAAAGCTTATTTATGGAATTGGGAGGATTTTAAGGCAGTGTTCAGTGTGTCTCTTTTCCTTTTGGTGAAGGAAACTTGAGTCATTCCAAGGTTCATTCAGATAGAAAAGAGTTCTGGTGGGGCTGTGGGAGGATATAGAAGTGGTTGTGATTTACTGCCTTTATATAGCATTTTTTTTTTATTCTGTTGAGTAAGTTCTAATCTAATAGATGATAATCTTTTAGGAAAACATTATGATTTGTTGTTTTTTGTTGTTGTTTAATCTTTACTGTTGAGAGTATTACACATGTTCCTCCTCCCCCCATTTGGTTTATAAGATCCGTGTGCCCTATTCCTTCTGGCTCCTATTGGTGTTGATGAAAGTTTCTGTAGGAGAGATGGGAAAAGTCCCTGGGTCTTCTGCTTTGCATAGAGTTGATTGACAACCAGATTTCCTTGGTTAGAACAGAACAGACATTTCTGGTGGGATGTTGCCATTGTGGACCCTTTTCCTCTTGAACTTAACCTTAGTGTCACTTCTAAAATAGTGTCTGCTTTTACTTTTTGGGAATTAAAATAAAGCTACTTTAAATTTTATTTTTCAGTTAGAGTTTACATTCAATATTATTTTGTATTAGTTTCATTTATACAGCATAGTGGTTAGATAATCTATACAGCATAGTGGTTAGATAATCAAAGTATTTCCCCTCTCCCCCAATATTTCCAGTACCCATCTAGCACCATACAGGTATTACAATATTATTGACTATACTAGAGACCTAGTGCACAAAATTCATGCACGGGTCAGGTCCTTAGAGGCTGCCGGCTGCCTGCCAGGGCCTCCCTTTATTCCACACCACCCCCTGGTGATCAGTGCACATCATAGTGAGTGATCAAATTCCCGGTCTCCTGGTTGACCTCCTGAGGGGACACTTTGCATATTAGGCTTTTAAATATATAGGTTTCCTATGCTGTACTTTATATCCCCATGACTATTTTGTAACTACTAACCTGTACTTCTTTTTTAAATTTTAATTTAAATTTTTATTAAATTTATTGGGGTGATACTGGTTAACATCATCATATAGGTTTCAGGTGTCGGTTTTTATGTTAGAAGATCTGTATATTGCACCATGTGCCTACCACCCAAACAACCCATACTTCTTAATTCCTTCACCTCTTTTGGGAAATTTTTTAAAAATATATTTTATTGATTTTTACAGAGAGGAAGGGAAAGGGATAGAGAGTTAGGAACATCGATGAGAGAGAAACATCGATTAGCTGCCTCCTGCACACCCCCTACTGGGGATGTGCCTGCAACCAAGGTACATGCCCTTGACCGGAATCGAACCTGGGACCCTTCAGTCCACAGGCGGACGCTCTATCCACTGAGCTAAACCGGTTAGGGCGGGAATTTTTTTTTAAAGATTTTTTTGATTGCAGAGAGGAAGGGAGAGGGAGAGAGAGATAGAAACATCAATGATGAGAGAGGATCATTGATCAGCTGCCTGCTGCACACCCCACACTACAACCTGGATTGAGCCCGCAACCTGGGCATGTGCCCTGAGGGAACCGAACATGACCTCCTGGTTCATAGGTCGATGCTCAACCACTGAGTTACGCTGGCCTCTTTTGGGAATTTGATTGTGGCGTCACTTAAGAATTGTTTGCAAGAAAACCAGAGACCTACCTGGACAAGGGTTGTATTGATTACTTGAGAGTGTGACTATTTTTCACTGTACTAGATCTCTTATTTCTGATTCTAGGTGAAATTGCCATTCTTGGTGGTGTAGGAGAACAGAATGAAAAACTGTGGAGCTTTACCAAAAAGGCCTCACACATTCAGTTGGACAGGTAAGAGTTAATGCCTTGGGGCTTACTTTTAAGCATCTAAACCAGCGGTTCTCAACCTGTGGGTCGTGACCCCTTTGGCAGTCGAACGACCCTTTCACAGGGGTCTCCTAAGACCATCCTGCATATCAGATATTTACATTATGATTCATAACAGTAGCAACATTACAGTTAAGAAGTAGCAACAAAAATAATTTTATGTTTGGGTCACAACACGAGGAACTGTATTTAAAGGGCCAGAATGTTGAGAACTACTGAAAACCAAGCATGTCAAACTCAAAGGCTAACATGGGCCAAATAGAAACCTACTGACCATCCAGTAGGTTTATTTCAATAGAGACATGCTGAATACAAAGGGCTGAAATAAATGAGTAATCGTTAACATAAAATAATAGAACACTTTAATAAAAATTAATCTTTTTTCTTGAACATTAATTATCAGACACTGAATAACTGCACAAATTAATAAGTGTAACACAAATAAACCTACTTTTCTAGTTCTCCAAAAGTGAAATATTTCCTGTTGCACACACCAAACAAGTCAGTCCAAGACTAATGATGTGGCAATCAGCTGCTAAAATATTCGCTGCTAGTATTATTAGAGAGAAGTGTAGTAATCAGTCATTAGTGAACGTTGTAGTTCGTTATTAATAATTATGTATAATAGGATATTGTAAAAACTAAGTTACGAATTTTTTATTAAAACGTTACTTACATACCGTTATATTGGCTAGGCCACAAATATATTTGTTGTGGGCCGCGGGTTTGACATGCTTGATCTAAACTATGCCTTTTTATTCATCCCCTCCCTGTTAAAGATTCTGATTAAAGGTGAAAGAGAATATATTTTTCAAGGCTTCACTGCTCATTACCAGTATTACTAATATAAAATAGTTGTGATTGCAATTTTTGGTATAGTATCATTACAGATTTTCTTCGATTTTTTTAAAAATTAAATTTATTGGGGTGACATTGGTCAACATGAACATACAGATTTCAGGTGTGGGTTTCTATGTTGCAAGATCTGTGTATTGTATCATGTACTCACCACCCAAAGTCAGATCTTCTCCTGTCAAAATATATTAGGACCCTATTATATATATTAGGACCCTCTTCTCCTCCTCTCTTCCCAGATTTTCTTCAATTCTAATGTGTAATAGAATTGTTAAATTTTTAACGATTTGAACATAATATTGAAACTAGGTCATATCTCAGTAAAACAGATCTTTTGGCATAAACTTGACAACTGTGATTCTACCAACTTTTTTATCTTCTTGCTCATACTTATTTGGGAATAGAATCTTTATGTAATGTTTTGCAAAGCCCCCACTGCCATGAGCATTATTTACCGGGAGCTTCTGCATCCTTATAGTATGTGACTGATCTAAAGTATTCCTTATTGTTGTTGTTTTTTTTGAATCCTCACCCAAGGATATGTTTATTGATTTTAGTGAGAGAGAGAGAGAGAGAGAGATCCATGTGCGAGAGAAACATCGATCAGTTGCCTCCTGTACCACCCAGGGATTGAACCCAAAACCTGGGTATGTGCCCAAACTGGGAATCGGACCTGCTACCTTTTGGTATTCTGAACAATGCTCTAACCAACTGAGCCACACCAGCCAGGGCTGTATTATTATTATTTTTTTAATAAGAGAAAGTTTATTGAGAAAGTCACAGAGGTAGAGGTGAACTATAGAATCAGTGGCCTTAGGAAACAAGTTACAGAGGCAAAAGAAGGGCCCTTGGAGCTTAGGAGAAAGAGAGAAGGACAAGATGGGGGGGGGGGGTGCGAGTGGGGAAGGTGTGTTGTGCTCCAGAGAGCCAACCCTTGGGATTTTTTTTAGCGGGGGGGTTTGGGGGGGTGGGGGAGTTAATTCTCCTCCAAGGAATTTTTTTTTTTAATATATTTTATTGATTTTTTACAGAGAGGAAGGGAGAGAGAGATAGAGAGAGTTAGAAACATCGATGAGAGAGAAACATCGATCAGCTGCCTCCTGCACATCTCCCACTAGGGATGTGCCCGCAACCCAGGTACATGCCCTTGACCGGAATCGAACCTGGGACCTTTCAGTCCGCAGGCCGACGCTCTATCCACTGAGCCAAACCGGTTTCGGCCTCCAAGGAATTTTTTCCATTGATTTAGAGAGTGGAAAGGAGGGAGGGAATGGGGGGGGGGGGGGGAGAGAAAGAGAAAGAAACATTAATGTGAGAGAGACACATCGATTAGTTGCCTCCTGCACACGCTCCAACCGGGCTGGGGTTCGAACCTGCAACCCAAGTACATGCCCTTGACTGGGAATCAAACCCAAGACCCTGTGGTGCTCTGGCCAGTGCTCTAACCATTTAGCAACACCGGCCAGGGCCACCCCTTATATGTTTAACTCTCAGTTAAAGCCTCATACACACATGAGCTTTGTTTCCTCAGCTTACCAGAAGTGCCTTTACTGGTCGATGTGCCTTGTTTATCTGCTCAGTTGGATGACTCAATTCTTAACATAGTGAAAGACCACATTTTTAAGCATGGAACCGTAGCATCTCGCCCACCAGTACAGATAGAAGAACTAATAGAGAAGCCTGGAGGCATCATTGTGCGATGGTGTAAGGTCAGTAATTCAGAATTATAGAAGTGGCTTCAACATCATGGATTTGAGATTGGGGGGCCTTAAATTTTTTCTCTTAAATTTGTTTTTATTGATTTCGGAGAGAGTAAGGGAGAGGGAGAAGGGGATAGAAACATCAGTGATGAGAGAGAATCATTGATTGGCTGCCTCCCACACACCTCCCACTAGGAATCAAGCCCTATACCCAGGCATGTACCCTTGACCAGAAATCGAACCGTGACTTCTTGGTTCATGGTTCGATGCTCACCACTGAGCCACACAAACTGGGCAGATTACTTTTTTGATAAACTACCTTTGAATATTTTTTTCTCTTCATAAACAAAAATCCCTTTTGCTTTACAATTAAAGTCACAGGGATCTTGAACTGAGGTAGCTCTTCCAGTTTGAGATAAACAGTTTTGAAGGTACTTTTTAGAATCCCTGAATCACTGCATTGTTTCTCAGTTGTAACTTCCTGAGTTAAGGACTGCTCCCATTTCTGTTTTTTAGGAGAGTCAAATGATGATAGTGAATATTGGGTGTCTGATAGCTTCCTGGTCAACACTCAACTAATATCTCTGAAATAAAATGTCTAAAGAATGATTTCTTTATATCTCAGCATTGCTGAGATTTTATGTGTTAAATTGGTTATATAGATGAGCTACCATATTTTATTTTTATTTTATTTTATTAATCCTCACTGGATATTTTCCTTTGAGTTTTAGAGAGCGTGGAAGGGAGGGGGAGAGACACATCAGTGTGAGGGAGACACATCAATTGGTCGCCTCCCACACGAGCCTTGACCAGGGCTGTGGATGGAGCGAGCCCACAACCAGGACATGTGACTGGGAATGGAACTGTGACCTCCTGGTTCATAGGTCGACACTCAACCACTGAGCCACGCTGGCTGGGCTAGTTGTGGGATTCTTATCCTTGAATTTTTAATGTTTTATCCTTGGCATTATTGTGTAGAAATCATGCCATTTCATCAAAGAAAGCAGATTTTTCCATATCAGATTGGGAGGTCTAAACACATGGTTCAGTAAAGAAAAGAAGGGACACAATGATGGAATATTTCTGATGACCTTCCTGAGAGGAGCCTGCATTGAGTATATTCAGCACTTGGGCTTGTATGCTTGGCCCAAAATGCCACATTCTAGGTTTTTTTTAAATTTTTATTTATTTTTTTTTATTTCAGAGAGGAAAGGAGAGGGAGAGAGAGAGAAACATCAATGATGAGAGAATCATTGATCAGCTGCCTCCTGCACACCCCTTATTGGGGATTGAGCACGCAACCTGGGCATGGGTCCTTGACCAGAATTGAACCTGGGGCTCTTCAGTCCGCAGGCTGATGCTCTATCCACTGAGCCAAACCGTCAAGGACCGCATTCAAAGTTCTGATAGAGTGATGCAGAGAGAAATTATTCTCTGACTTTTACCTAACACAAAGTCTTTCTCTTTAGGTGGACGACGACTTTACAGCCCAAGATTACAGACTCCAGTTTCGTAAATGTACTTCAAATCATTTTGAGGATGTATATGTAGGCTCTGAAACTGAATTCATAGTGTTACACATAGACCCCAATGTTGATTATCAGTTCCGAGTCTGCGCCCGAGGAGATGGCCGACAGGAGTGGAGTCCTTGGAGTGTCCCCCAGATAGGTCATTCCACGTTGGTGCCGCATGGTATGCCCTTGCCTTCTCACTCCTGAGCTCAACTGTGTGTAGGAACACTTGTCTTCTGTGCTCAAGGCCGCACGCTGCCCACCCTTGTTTCTGAGGCTAACCCTGGATTGATGAGAACAGCACTGGATATGTCTTTTACTTCCTGCTCACATTACTTCGTGTGACTTTTACAAAGAATTCAACAGTTCTTATCTCCAGAGTCTAAAATAGTGCCACCCAGGATTGGTAGCATTCCCTAAAACCACAGATTTTAAATATTGCATCAGGAAACTTCAGGGTTTTTTGTTTTTTTAAAATATATTTTTATTGATTTCAGAGAGGAAGGGAGAGGGAGAGACAGATAGAAACATCAGTGATGAGAGTGATCATTGATTGGCTGCCTCCTGCATGCCCCTCACTGGGGATCGAGCCCGCAACCCAGGCATGTGCCCTTGACTAGAATTGAACCCAGGACCCTTTAGTCTGCAGGCCAGTGCTCTATTCACTGAACCAAACTGGCTAGGGCATGGAAACTGCAGTGTTTGATCCAAACCTTCAGTGTATATCTGAGTAGAGGCTTTTTCTCAAAAGCTGTATGGTTGACGTTGATCTCTTCTATATTACTAGTTTACCAGATTCAAACTCATTTGTTAATTAGTTCTTAATCAGGTTGGAGTAAGCTCAAATATGATTTTATCAGATAGGCCCGTGGTCGGCAAACTGCGGCTCGAGAGCCACATGCGGCTCTTTGGCCCCTTGAGTGTGGCTCTTCCTAAGCCTTAGGAGTACCCTAATTAAGTTAATAGCAATGTACCTACCTATATAGTTTAAGTTTAAAAAATTTGGCTCTCAAAAGAAATTTCAATTGTACTGTTGATATTTGGCTCTGTTGACTAATGAGTTTGCCGACCACTGAGATAGGCTATAACACTTTTATCTTCCATGCCAAAAGAATAGACTGAAAGTGTTTTTATGGTTTGTAGGATGAACCATAATGCCCTATCATGGAAGAATCTTTTATTAAACTTGCTCATGACCTCTAAGAGTAGCCTTTTCTACTTCCACATCTTTTTTAATGTGTCTGTACTGAAGCTAGTCCTGAACAGATCCTAATAATTTCCAATGTCTTTGCTTTTTAAAAAGAATGGACAGCTGGCTTTGAGGGGTACAGTCTGAGCAGTCGAAGAAATATAGCACTCCGGAATGATTCAGAATCCTCAGGTGTTCTCTACTCCAGCGCTCCAACCTACTTCTGTGGGCAGACGTTAACATTCAGGCAAGTAGATATGATAATACCTGTCTGTTGTGGCTGAGGCAGGGTAATGAAGTGCACAGAACATATATAAGCTTCCGACAAAATTGTCCTGAGGTTGTCCCATCATTTATAGGCAGTGGTACTTTGAGGAGGAGATTTCTTTATTTCTCTTTGCTTCCACTTTCTCATGTATTCATAGGGTTATTATGAAGATTAACTGAACATAAAATGCATTGGTTATGCTTGATACATATTATGTTTAGATCTCTTTTCTTCTTGGTAAATAGAGGTAAGTAGAATACCTCTCAAAAGTCAACCTTAAAAAAATTTAGAGGCACAGAATTTTCTTTTTGTAGTTTTGAATCAATCAGACCAGGTCTCTATGAGAGACAGCCTATCTGTGTAAACTGCTACTACCGATTAATTTTCTATTTCTTTACCTATTTCTTCCTGTATTAGAAAATTTTTCTTTTTTGTGTTTTTATGTTATTTTAGAAGTACTGTCTATGTGGTCATATTTCTAAATAGCTCTTCCTAGAAACCAACGCTCAGTTTTGATTTAGAAAAGTAAAGCTTGCCTGACGTTCACCATACTCACAGGGTAGCAAACTCTCTTCTAAGTTTTACCTCTTTTTCTTTTTAATATATTTTTATTGATTTTTTACAGAGAAGAAGGAAGAGTGAGAGAAAGTTAGAAACATCAGTGAGAGAGAAACATTGATCAGCTGCCTCATGCACACCACCCACTGGGGATGTGCCAGCAACCAAGGTACATGCCCTTGACCGGAACTGAACCCGGGACCCCTCAGTCCTCAGGCCGACGCTCCATCCACTGAGCCAAACCGGTCAGGGCAGTTTTACCTCTTTTTTAAAAAAATATGTTTTTATTGATTTCAGAGAAAGGGATAGAGAGATGGAAACATCTCTGATGAGAGATAATCATTGATCGGCTGCCTCCTGCACGCCCAAAACCCAGGCATGTGCCCTGACCGGGAATTAAACCGTGACCTGGTTCATGCTCAACCACTGAGCCACACCAGCCGGGCTGAGTTTTAACTCTTGAGATCATGAGATTTCATTGTGAATGCTTGTTCAAGTTCCTCCTGTTCTGTGCCTTGTCCTGTAAGGCATGGACAGTATCTGAAATATTATCTAAGCCAATGTTGCCATGTTCTTCACCAGCCAAGTCATTTGAACTGTCAGCAGTTATCAGAATGTACTAGTTATGCGTCCTCTCATTTTTTATACCTCCTCTCACCACTTATATCAAGTTGTTATTAAGTCATCCTTTCTTTATAATGTAAGGGGTGAGATGAAGTATCAAAGAGAGAGAAATAAGGAGTCTAGTGCCTCAAGTCTATTTAATTATTCCCCAGGTAATCATGAGATTTCTGTACTAACATACCCCCTCTCTGTTTATTTCTCTTCTTTTACAAAAATACTTGCATTAGGGACTCTGCTGAGAATAAGGTTCTTCTATGTAATGGTATGGCTTCCTGAGTTGATAGATTTAAGCCAGATGTCTCAGACCATAATAAGAAAAATTATTATAGAAATAATGATTGTAGTTAATATTTCAATAGCATTTACTATGTGCCAGGTACTTTCCTAAACATTTTACTTGTATTGTCACCAGATAGGGACTGGGCCTGGAATGGGTCTGCCTCAGGCTGGCCTGTGGTGTGTGGGTTCTTGACTTTGTGCAGGAAAGATTTCATAATATGAGTCCAGGTGATTCTGAGGGTTTGTATATTAAAACTGGGGACCATGAAACAAAGGAAGGGCTTAGGGTAGAAGAAGCAGCAGGAAAGAGCCTAGGCCAGGGGTGGGCAAACTTTTTGACTCGAGGGCCACAATGGGTTCTTAAACTGGACCGGAGGGCCGGAACAAAAGCATGGATGGAGTGTTTGTGTGAACTAATATAAATTCAAAGTAAACATCATTACATAAAAGGGTACGGCCTTTATTTTTTTTTAGTTTTATTCATTTCAAACGGGCCGTAGTTTGCCCACGGCTGGCCTAGGCAGTGCTCGGCTTTGGCTCCCTAGAAACATGGGAATGAAGTGAGCTAGCACAGGGCTTCTGTTAGCTCACTGGGAAGTGAAGGTCACAGTGATAGAAGTGAGGCGGAGCAGAGCTGTTGTTAGCTCACTGGAAAGTTAGAGAAAAGGGGACCTTTGGAGACAGGATCGGGGGTAAGCCCAGGACGAGCTGTCCCTGCCGACCACTTCCCTGGTTGCAAGTCTCGTGGGGACCCTTAGTCTTTAGGAGGAAGTAAAAACTTCATGCCCGAGAAGAGGCATGGGTGTGCTCTAGAGCGAGCTGGCACTGGTGTTTTTTGTCTTGAGGGTTTATCTCTCTTGTGCTTGTGAGAATTTTAGGGGAGGGTTTCATCAGAATATTCATCAGCTTGCCAAGTGTGATTATAATATGCTGATGCCTCACAATGAGTGTATAGGGGAGTTTGGGATTATTCTTTGGTCTACTTTACTGTTTTACTTTTATCTTGGATCTGTCTGGCTCTAATCGGGGTTTTGTTATTTGTTCCCTAAGTTTATCTGTCCTTGGGTTTGGCTGGCACAAATGGCATTAATTGGGTCTCTGTCCTCTATCTCCCTGACCAGTGTGATTTAAGCTATTTATTCTCTGGTAGGGAGGAGAGGTATAAACCATCTGCTCTCAAGTGCCCTTGGTTAGGGAAGATAAGGTCTTGCGATTCACTAGCTGTCTGTAAGTTGTTTAAGCTGTTCGGCCTTGTTTAATTACTGTGTCTCAGTTTCTCTATTCCACTTGCCCAGGAATGTTCCTAGCTTCTTACTATCCTGCCTCAGTATTAACTCATTTGATTCTCACAATAACCCAGTGAAATATGTGCAGTTACTCATATTAAGGATGAGGATGCTAAGGCATGGGGAAGTCACTCACCCACTGTCACGTAGCTAGTAAATGGCAGAGTTAGGGTTTAAATACAGGCAGTCTGGCTTCAGAGTCTGTGATCTTATGGCTGGTCTCTATTGCTTCTTGTTTGTCTTCCTGGGAGAGTAAACATGCTTCTAATTAGTGCTGAAATCTATAGTTTTCCTGTTATAGTAGCCTTAGTTCTTTTTCCTCTTCAATGACCATGATCTGTGGTTGATGGTGTCCTGCTTTTAAATCCTTTCTCTTTGAACACAGAAAAGGTCTGATAGATGGCACACTTAGGTTTCTTTCTTAAGTCATTCAATGAATATCTGTTGATTTAATTTAAATCCTCTTACTATCTGTGGACTGTAGGGCTCAATAAACCATTCGTTAGTTCCTGCCTCCTCCTCCATAGATGCCAGACTGGGCCCCTCTTGGCAGGGTAATTATCTGAATCTTAGTTAAGCTCAGTATTATCTTAGCCAGACCTTTACATTTTTGTCATTTTTTTTCTCTGAATGGGAAATGAAAATGTTTTCTCTCCTTGTTTAAAAGAATTTCAGGCATCAGCAATTAAGTCAGAAGATGTGAGTTGGGGTGGGGGGGGGGGGTGCGGGGCACCTCCATGTAGGAGGTAGGAAACCATAGGCCTACTTAATAAAGGTAAACTTTACTCAGTTTTTTTAGGGTGTTTGAAGGTCTCTTAGAAGGGAGATTGTATTCCTGTAGGCACTGCCCTGTTGCTCAGTCCAGTCTACTTCCTGCTGCAGTTTCTGCAATGCTTCGAGCTGCTGAAGCCAAAGAAACCAGTCACTGGCTGGCTCTTAACCGTCTCTACAGCCCAGTTTCATTTGGTGCCCAGGTCTGCTAGCAACCCGCTCCTTCCAGGCCTCTCCCCGATTTCCTGTTGGAGCATTCCTGCTTTCCCTTTCCTTGCTTCTAAGATTTCCTATCTTACTATTTTTAAGCCGTATTTTTACTTTCTCTTCTCTACTACCTCTTTTCTTTAAAATAGCTTCCTTTCAAACAGCCTTCCTTAATCCTAATAGCCTCAGAAGTTGTCGTCTTCCTTTTATAGATAAAGAAACTAAAGCACAGAGACTGACTTGTCAGTATTCAAATGCTCGCCATCTAGCCCCAAAGTCTGTGTTTTTAACCACTGCGTACCCTGCCTGTGGCAAGTAACGTGAGGCAGTTAATCAGGGGCAGTAAGCTAGCTATTTTTAATAATAACCTTTCCCTTCAAAGAACATACAAAATCATTGTTCCGTTTTTCTATTGTTGTATAGCAAACCACCCCAAAACTTAGAGGCTTAAAACAGCAACAGTCATCTGTTTGCTCAGGAAACTGTAATTTGCAGAGCTTGGCAAGTGCAGGCATCTCTGCTCAAGTGTCCTACCCACCCCCCCACCCCCCACCCCCGATATTTCAAGTACCTACCTGGCACCATATGTATTGACTGTATTCCTTAGGCTGTACTTCACATCCCCGTGACGGTTTTGTAACTACAAGGACTGTTTCTTGGACTTTTTACTGTCTATTTTCTTTCTGTCTTAAAACTACTTTTCTAAACTCTAAGGACAGTTCGGATAAACTCCAGTCTTTTAAATGAGGCTGATTGTTTCATCAACCCTTATTCCACTCCGATGGTATTTACAGTACATGATATTGGCAGGAGTACCAAGTTTAAGAAACAGAGAAAACCAGAAACTGGCTCCACGTAGAGCAGGCAGCTAATAAATTAGTATAAGAATTATCCAGACTCCAAGGAATCTAGAGGAGGGAAAAGTTACTTCTAGGTGAGGGTTGGTAAAGGCTTTTTCTCAGGCAGAGCTGGAAAGGACAGTTCAGGGAAACAAAGGAAGACAAAATATAGACTAGAAAAAATACAAAGAACAGCAAATAAAGAGTATGTCTGGGTTAACAGAGATGGGAAGTTAGTCAGAAAGAACCCCAGGAAGGTAGCATATTCTTTTGGACAGGCTTTGTATGATTTTTCTTTAATTCCTCAAAGAAATGCTTCTTTTGGAGGTCACCTGTACTCATTGACAAGGAGGACATTTGATACTGCATACAGAGCTCCCCCCCAACAAAAGGCTTCCGCAAGTAAAACCAAATC